TTTGTTATTCGTCATAACGTGACCGAAATAAGACAGTCAGCGACACGTTATCTGTGTTGTGTTGCAGTTTTTAACAATCCAAGAGCTTTAGCTGCTTTGTTTTCTCCTCCATTGTGGCCTCAATTTACGTAAAAATCACACATCAATAATAATAAATATCTTTATTTCTCCTCACAAATTCACATACTACACTATGGGTACAAAAATTTTATTTTGTTGATTATTTTACACGTTAATTTGTGGGAGACTGGTGTCTATAGAAGGCTTAGCCTGAAATAATAAATCACCAGGTTCCCACCCCACGATCGATCGAACACATCTCTTATTTTCATATAAATTAAAACTATAGCTTAACACAAACACCATTACTGTCAATCTCGACCTTTACACAATGATGTCTATTACTTGTATTTTACTATCTATTGTGACCTAGCAACAAGAACTGTGTCAAAAAGGGTTGTAATTAGGACTCGTAACTCTGAAATATTGTTGTTTGAAAGGTATATTTAATTATTTATTTTGATTTTTATTTGACAAATTCTTATATATGGGAAAATGGTAATCACCGACTATTTAAACAATAATACTAGAAAAGTAAGTCTTGCGAAGTTTCGACGTCTCTCTTCTGCAAAGCGATAATTTATTTGAAAATGTCAAATCCATACAATAGGCGGAGACTTTACTAATTGAATTCTCTGGCGAATTTCAAAATTTTAATTGTTTAGCTCTTTTTCACAGCCTATATTTTTGTCACACCAAAATTACAAAAAGTACTAAATGAAATTATAATTGGCAAACACAATATGCTTTTGTAAGCATATGTGTGATGATGACCGCTGTTGTTGAGTGGCTCACACTCCGGTTTCAACATCTCTGAGGTGCTCGATTAGATTTCTAGTTGGGTTAACATAGAAAACAATCTTATCTACATTGTCTTGACCACATCTGTTCTGTGGTCTTGTTTCTATAGTCGAGAGAAGTAATTACTTAATAGAAAGCTAATAAAATATAGTATTCTTAGTGTTATGTAAGAGTTAATTTCATTAAAATTCTTGTTTATTTGGTAAAAATGTCTGCATAAATTATCCCATATTCTCAATTAATCACTTCTTTTGATTATACGAGTGTAAATTTTCATTTCATTAAATTTATGGGAGTTTAATTTGATTGGAATATGTTTTGTGCAACAAAACAAAGACTCAATTTATGACCGTTTCTGCAACTGAGCATAAGTGATGGTGTGCTTTCTTTGTTTTATATTATCATAACACAAATAAATAAAAAACTAACAGCTTCAGCTGTTTAACTTGGTCTCTGAGCTATACATGTGTTATTGTCTAGGATTGATTTATTATTATTATATGTGTATCGACGTCTCTCGAAAAAAGCTTTTTACTACACAGAGTACCCATTAGATCAACTCATTTAACATCTTAGCGCATATCTACAAATTATTATGAGTGCTTCCTTTATACATTTGTCAACGTTTATCCATCTGAATGATGACGCTCATTAATGAGGAGACTCCATCTTGAGCCCATTGAGGGCAGCCCTCCTTAAGGCTTATTTGTCCTCGAGGCCAGTGATAAATCGGTGTGTCCCAACCAGTGGAATTAACAGACTACATCGAAAAGAGCCGGTTATGTATCTGATGGAAACACACAGACAGGAATAATGTACACACCTGCTTCAGTTTTTTGTAAAAGTTATAAAAACTCTCGTGATTATTATTTCTCATCACATTATTTAAGAACGCAGTCCTAATAACAAATAAAAAAAACTAACAGTGATTAAAATAAAACCCAAATTCTATTCTATTACTTACTTGATTTTTTATTTTTTATGGGATAGGGGGCAGACGAACAGACGGATCACCTGATGGTAAGTGATTACCGTCGCTCATGGACACCTGCAACACCAGAGGGGCTACAAGCGCGCTGCCGGTCTTTGAGGGACAGGGAGGGAAGGGCGGGTTGGGCCTCTAGTACCCTCACTCACACGACGAAACACAACGCAAGCGTTGCTTCACGTCGGTTTTCTGTGAGGCCGTGGTATCACTCCAGTCGAGCCGGCCCATTCATGCTGAAGCGTGATATTTAAAAAATCACAGTGTTTGTCTGAACTTAATAAATTGAAAAAGAAAATAACAATAAAAAAGGCGATGTATAGGATTTCATGCAATCCGAGTTCGTACGCCTTTGTATTTATCGAGAGAAATAGACAAGAGCAAGTGAAGAAATACAAGTATCTTGGTACGTGGTACGCGGCAAATACAAATAATTATGAATTTTGATGTTCAATCGTTATTATATGTTTTCCTCTATTTCAGATATATCACTTTCGTTGTAAGCGAAAAGATGCGTAAAAAACGCTAACTATAATAATACTATTAGGTATACTGTCGCTACTGAAAGGCCCCGCCCTCGCCTGTCGCGCGGGATGTACCAAGTCCCGGGCCAGGTGTCATGTTGACTCGAACGAGCAGCATATATTGCATTTTACTAATAAATTTATTGAGTAAGTATTTAATTATCAAATACTGCGCTTGACAGCACTTCATTTGATCAATAAATTGTCATATAATACTGAGATTTATACTAAGTGATACCACAGTAAACTTGTTTTAGGTCCCTTGAAATGTTGGTTTAGGCGTCCAATGTCAGAATCAATAGATGTATATTTTTCCATATGGGAATTTACTTTAGTTTCGAGAAATCAATTCGTAGCATTTTATACCTTGCGTCCTCAATATATAAAGACCACATTACTAAAAATCTCACCTTTTACAAATACGAATTTATGAATGGTTATTGATGCGTTTTTTGCCGATATCCCATAGATGGGTAAATAATTTATCTATTAGTTGAATACGTATCTTTTGAGAGGCTTTTACCATTGATTTGTGTTGGAAACGTTAATGGCAAATTGGCATTTTCAGGCTTCGGAATTGCGGGGCTGTCGATCGATGAATGGAAAAATTACTCTGTCGGGGAATTAAGTTAGTATTTTATTGCTGTTTATTTTTTTTCTGGCCATTTTATTCAAACTCCAATTCTTACCGTGATTTTTCTCAAAAATCATTTTGCTATTGTATCAAACACAGTAATCGTTTTTAAGATGTTTTTTTTTAACGAGACTATTGCTCCATTGTTATCAAATGCAACATAATCTCGTCCACTTTAAGGCGTCATGAATAAGTAATAAAACACAGCCTGATATTTTACTACAATATATTATCACCAAATTATATTTTACAAGTAATATAGAAAATATCATTGTTTTCATCAGATATTTGTAGGTATTTACAAAAGCAAACCACACTAAAATATATCACAATAATTAGCTATACAGGTTGGCGTACAAATCTTATTTTAAACAGTTGTGTATCATCGATTAAAGTATGTACTTGTTACAATATCTATTAAATTCCCAATAGAGCAGTAAGGGATTTCCCGTATTATAGCAATTATCAAAACAATTTATTAATGAGTAGTCTCGGAAAATATCTGTCTTGTGATTTCAGATATTGTATTGGAAAGTGACTTCATAGTCTAATGCAGTCATTTTCCAATAAGAGCAGCCCTTGCTGAGTTTCTTGCCAGTTCTTCTCGGTACAAAGTCTCCCGCCGTAGTTTTGGGAACCGTTGGCGTAGTTTTAGACTTTCACAAATGCTATGGATAAGCCTAGCCCGAATAAACAATTTTGATTTGAACTAGACAACAATTAAACTCAAGCTACACAATTTTTAAATAAATAAAGGTGGGGTTGTTATGCGTCGTAACTATAGGGTTGGCACAATTTCAATCCAACAACAAATTGAAACTAAAAGAGCGAACTAGTGAAGCGAGACCCTTGACGGCGGTTCCACCAAAGCAACCGTTCACTTTGCCAACACGCACACATAGCCACGAGCACAAATATTTGAGTGTTGTATTTGTAACATACTTTGTAATTTTCATTAGAGATAAATTTTGAAGGAAAACGCAATAAAGCCGTTATTTAACTGAAAGTTTTCATTTGTCAATTTTTAACAACTAAGGTTTTGCACTTGACATTGGCAGAATTGTGTGAAATGCGCAGATCAGCTATTCATAAAAGAAGAAGAAGTAAAATCACTTATTGTTGACAGTGTCTGAGTATATTACTTTCGACATAAATATTACCTTTTATCGAATTCAGACCAAAATAAATCTAAATACATAAAAAAAATACGAATGATTATCGTTTTTGCGATTAATATACAGTTTGCGATCTCAATCTATTTTTTTTGCAAAAGAGAAAAAAGATTTTTCCATTCAGAGTTCTTATTAATATTTGCTACGATACCTGAACATTTCAGCCACAATGGTTAAATAACTTACATAAGGTTAATGGCGCAGTGGTTTTCGTATTCAGTTTGTGATTGTCGAGGTTAAGCAACATCGCAAGGGACGGACATCGGATGGGTGTCCAAATTTTTATCCCGTTCTTTGGAAGGCACGTTAAGCCTTTGGCCCTAGCCGCATGCATGCCGTTGCAGTCACTAATACCCACCAATCCGCACTGGCGTGGTGGATTGTGTCCCGTTTTTCCCCTGTTTATTTCCATTAGGATGGTCTATCACAGATCTCAGCAGGTGAGAAATTAATAAGCTGACGCCTGATGAATGATTATAAGCCTAGGGTTGTACCTTTATTTGAATATATAAATTAGAAATCCACGACAATGACAACAGAAACGGGGATGATGATGATTTTTTTTTAGTTCGTCCATCAGGTCGATTGTTGAAAAATATGAAACACGCATTGTTTTATGTTTTGCGTAATCATTAAATTGCGACGATATATTGAGTTAAAATGTAGCCTGACGTCACGGTCTTGTACATTTTCTACAAAAGTGTGAAATAGCGAGTCCCTACTCTTCAACTTTAATGCACATTATCTTAGGTATTTCTAAAGTTAAAAAAATACGTATCTAATATTTTTCTATTATCAGACTGACGGACTTAATGGTTTTTTTTTTACCCAAGCATCATCCCAATTCATTAACAACGATGCAATGCCAACCGGTACAGTGTATAAATCTATTTATATAGAACAGGTGTAGTCGTAACACGAGGACGCTTCCTGTCTCCGTTCCTCGTTTGATATACGAATGTTAGATGAGGCACCGCCCGTCTCCCACAAGCCTGGTGTCTCGATAATCTAGTAGGAGATGTTATAAAAATATTACTAACTAATAAAAAAAATATTAAAATTATTACTATAAATATATTTTTTTAATATTTTTATTCAGTTTTTTCTTTCAGCTCTTTTACGTCCCCATTGCAGGGACTCAGGTCCTGATAGATGATTAAGAAGGATGGGCCATGACCCTCCACAGGCCCAATACGGATTAAAGTGTATGAACAACTGCAAATTCAGCCAGGACTAGCGACTTAACGTACCTCCCGAAGCACGGAGTAGCTCAAGATAATAATTTTTGGTCACCCATCCCGTGACCGACAACTGCGAACTCGATGAAGCAGTGCCTAGTACGTTCGGTTTACGATGTTGAAATTAGGCAACTTACGCAAGGGCAAATAAGATGGGTGACCAAAAATTTATTATCTCTATCCCCTTCGTGTTTCGGAAGGTATATCAAGCTGTTGGCCCCAAGCTGCATCTGCCGACATTAACACCAATGAATCTGCACTGGGTCTGTGTCGGCCTGGTCATGTCATGACACAAACTCCCTTGTCTAATTTGTACGAGTCTATCGTTTCGATTCCATGCATTTAGAACGCCTGTGCCCAAGGCAGTAGTGACATTCATAGTCTAGTGATAATTTCAGCAAAAGCGTATAATTTTTATTGGTTATTAATTATCGTTAGTGTGTTTTTCATTCACAATAGGGATGATGACTGGGTAAAAAAATGCAATTCTATTTAGTCCGTCAGTCAGATAATAGAAAAATATTAGACACATATTTTTTTTTTTTACTTCATTTTAACAAGAAATAGCTTAGATAACAGGCATTAAAGTTGAGGAGTGGGGGCTTGCTACGTCACTGTTGAGTAGAAAACGCACCCTAACGTGACGTCATGCGAAATTTCAACTCCATGTAACGCCGTAATTTTATGATTACGAAAAAATTAAAAAAATACGTGTTTAATATTTTTTAACACTCTACCTGACGGACAAACAAACAAAAATTAGTCATCATCCCTATTATTTTCTAAACGAACACTTGAAACTTAAAACAGAACAATATTTTGTTGAAGAGAAAATTGGAATTTTTCATATTATTTATTTAACAAAAATTGTATTCCTAGCTTTCTGTTTATCGTAGAACAAAACGTTAGTTATATACATTTTAACGTATAACTTACCTTTTGCACGAGCTCTTCAAAAGCCAAGTTGATCCCTTCTTGTGTTTTAGCGCTGCTCTCTATGAACAACATTCTGTGTTTCTGTGCAAAGGCTTGTCCAAGTTCTCGCGGTACTGCACGTGGCTATATAACGTAAGGTATAATAAGGATATGACGTTCATAGCGTGGACATACTAGTTAGTTAAAACCTTTTTGATTTATTCAAAAGGTAAAACAATTCAAAAGTGCTTGAAACAAGCTTACTTGAATAAAGATATTTTCATTTTATATATAAAAAAAATATATATAAAAAATTATACAATCAGCAACAACATCAGTGTTTATGTATTTATAAATAATGATAAATTTAAGGTTAAAATACTTATTAAAATATAATTTATTATTATTATATAATACAATAAATTATTATTATAAAATAAAATAAATTTTTATAATTTATATTCTGTTTAACTATTGTATTATGAATTACTTAAAATTAAATTAAAATAATTTATCTAACACAATACATTTTACCACTTAAGAAGTGTCTATCTTTCAAATAATTGCCGTTTTTTGCGAAAACTATTGTTTTAGAAATCTCTGTCATTTTTAAGATCTATTTAAAGCAGGGTCTTTAAGGACATATTGTTACATATTTTAGCACAACAACCATAAATGTAATATTTGTATAAAGTTACCTTATCAAGTTTATTCCCCACCACTAAGCATACAATGTTTTTCTTTGTCGAGTAAACTTGTAGTTCATCTACCCACTCCTTTAGTTTATCAAGACTTTTGGGTTCTGATATGTCGTAAACTAATATTGCTCCATGTGCATCTCTGTAAAATAATATAAACTTATCTCTTTGCTCGTGGTTAAAGTGACATTGCAGAGTGTAACAAGTAATCAAAACTTGTCTACAATGTTGTCTACAAGTTAAGCTAGACTATATAAATAAAACTATGGTCACTTAATAGATCCCATTTGGTGATGTTAATCCTTGCTTTGCTTATTTGCCAATGAGAAACAGAACTTTTTTTTAATCATAAGTGTCTCACAGATTGATTTCTCATGTCTCAAATTGGAATCATGACTAAAAGTTTTCTGTATCTCTTTAGATTTATGTTGTTTCTTAATGAATTATGGTTAGAATCCAAAATCAATTGTAGAAATTTGATATATTTTGATAATCTGATGTGCAGCAGAGTGTAATAAAACAATGTATATGATGATATATTAATCATAAGGTTGATAAGAATATATTTGGTCCATAATAACATATATAATTAAAATATTACTTATGTGGTTGACCTACATAGCTAGGTGGTTCGCATTTTCAAAGTGTCACAATGTCAGAGGTTATGTATTTGATAACCGATAAGTAAATAAACATTTTCTATTTGGTCTCAGGTCTGGGTGTTGTGGTATCCTGTGGTGTTAGATTACAATAACTTTTTAGCTATTCAATTTGAGATGTGAGTAATGTATAATATTATTTTATAATATTACAGTTCACTATCACAATAAAATAATAAAGAAACACTCAGTCACTCGCTTTGATTATAGTACTAAAGTAACAAGCAGTATATCCAATATCTATATTAATAGTATGTTAATATTATATTATAGAGGAAAGATTTGATTGTTTGTAATTAATAAGGCTCCAAAACTACTGGACTGATTAGAAAATTCTTTCACCTGCAACAAGCTACACCATATGCGGTGAACATAGACTATATTTTATACTAAAAAAACAACAAATAATAGGAGTGAAAATTTGTATAGGGAATTAAACCATTACCATAGTAATTATTGTTTATTAATAAATTTGTCATTGTAATTGATTTACCAATTTACAAATAGACCACCCAAGTGAAGCCGCTAGCAGAAAGCTAGTTCTTTTTAAAAAATTTTTTTCACAGGTAAACTAACTAGTTGTCAATATAACAACATATAATCAATGTAACAAAAAATATTATTCAAATATACACAAACTACTTGAAATAAACAGGCTGTTTTATAGCAGAATAGCATATGTACCTATATGTTCTGCTCCACAACTTATTCAACAGAACTTTATTTTTATTATAAATAAAACTTTTAATATTTCTTACCTATAAAAACTAGAAGTCAATGTCCTGTACCTCTCCTGGCCAGCTGTGTCCCAAATACCGAGCTTCACTTTTACACCATTCACTTCCATTACCTTGCATTTATAATCTACACCAATTGTGGCCGGGAATGACTGGTTGTAATCTCCAGTAGTGAATGCCAGTATTATACTAAAATAAAAGATTTCTTATGATTACCTTTTTTTATTATCAAACTATTTAAAAAATACTTTAAAAAGTAAGCTGTCTTAGGTGCCCATTTCAATAATTAAATTGGTGACTGCTCTAATAGATTTTCCCATCTCAGACATTTATAACAGTTGAGTTTGAAAGTTCAAATTTTTCTTTTTAAGTCAATTAGTAACATATATATAACCTTGATAAGTCTACACTATGTCCTTTTAAATGGGAGATCCAGGAGGTCAATTTTGGTTTAGGGCAGCTGAATAGAGAATGTACTGTCATGAAATATATAGTTCGAAATTGCTTTTAACTGTTAGATCAATGATCAATGAATCATCTTCATCATTTAGTGATTAAAACGCCAGTACTGGTTAAGGAAAGTGATGCAATTGTTTTCAATTTTCACAATTTAGAAATTGCAGAACAACCTTACCTGGACTTCCCGACACCACTTTCACCAATTACAAGGATCTTTAGAGTAGTAACATAATCCATTTTAAGACAAAGGCTCCTATAATTACACCAGGCAGTAGAAAACAGAAGTTTAAAGTTATTTTTTCGCAAGAACTAGCAATAAATATCACTTTATATTCATCGGTAAAAGAGTATCAATTCTGTCTATTGATTCAGGCACAAATTAATAATTATATTTTATAATAAAACGAAATTGTAACATAAAACTCTTCACCAAAACAAAACGTATGACATTTTGCGTATTAGAATAATGACTTTGACAGTGACGTTTGCGTTTATAACTTACCTGACTTATAATGCGTTTGGATACTACTGAATTGATTGACAAAGATGAAATAATAAATAAATCTATGCTATGTGCATAATATTGTGCATTTTCGTTTGTTATGGAGCTTTGTTTGTTTCGTTAAAAGTATATAAAAATGGTTACTTATAATGGAAATGGCAAAAGTGAGCAAAACCTTTTCAGTAAGTAGGTACTGTGCTCATGTGAAAATAAAACTTTCAAACTTCTGTGGCTTTATTTTGAAAGTATGGTTATTATGTTTGTGAAATATGATTATTTAAGATTTTTATATTACCTATAAGGAAGTCGGGCAGTTCGTTCGAATGCTGTCGTGGCGCCAAAGAGATTTAAACATTAAATATTTATTTGTTATTAAAAGAGTTGGTAAGGAGGCTTTTTAATCCAATCGATCGAGTTTTGTATTAACAACTAAGTACACTTCGATCAAACTTCAACATTGTAAAAATTATTTTATGATAGATAAATATCTACTTTGATCTTAATTAAATATAAAACGTTCGTTTTTCATGCATAAAAATACTCACTGAGTATGTATTGTACAAATCAGTTTTCCTTTTCTATTTTCATACTATAAAATTATTTTACGTCAACGAAGCACGATTGTTTAGAAAAGAGGTTGGACGTGCACCTGTATTTTCATACACAATGGCAGCTTCTGAATGCATTCTAATGAAATAAAGAAACGTTTTGTCCCAGATACCCCTGTTGCACTACCCGAGTCGATAGTAGAGTGACTATTCTTTATCATACTGAAAAGATTTCATCCTTACAATTCTCAATCACTTAATAACGTTACCATAATTAAATAATCTGAGTACTTAGATGAAAACTTGATAATTAATCTGGAAAAATACTAATTAATTACCTACTTATCATTAACTTTCACAAGGCCTTTGCTGTAACGGGATTTGCCGGTAAGTTGAATAATACATTCTGTGACTTCTAGAAAATCTATAAATAAAATTTTGCAGTTTAGTTTCTTATATTTAAATCAAGACTGAATGTGCAAATCTTACCAATATTGTCGAACGTTATTAATACTCAGTTCTTGTTTCAGTAACAAACAAAATACTAAAGATAACTATTTTTTTCTGTTTTCATTTCAATTTATCATGAAACTTTTAGTGTCTACTCAGGAGTACACAATCACAGGAGGAGGGCACAATCTTTTCCTATTTATAGAATCAAATAACGCTGTTTATAAACAATCAGTGTTTATAAAAATAAATTAATAGTCACCTATTCTATAAACTTGCGGAAGTTTTTTAAGCTTTTTATCTGAGATCAATGAATCATTAACCACAGCGCTACAAGCCTCTAAATCAAGACTTTTAACTGACTTCAAAATAGAAGGAACTTCACAGTACCAATGAATGTGTTTTTATACTAGTGTGTTTATTTCTGTATTTGTCACCATTCTCCTTTTCCGTTATTTTTTATTGATATTTAGATTTTAATATCAACTATAAGCAGAAGAATAAAATGTCTAAAATAAATTGACGATATCTTCGTCATTGAAAATTTCAAACAAATCGAAAAATTATTCTTGATTTTACAAAGTTGGTTAACAAATTCAAGAAAGTTCATTTTGAAGTTGGGCGCCTAAAGGTATAGCCAGCAAATCCTAGACTGAACACCAAATGAAGTTTTTTAACAGCCCTTTAATACTATTTCAAGACATATTTCGATTTAAATGAAGTTACGTTTAGTTTTTTGTATGTCCTAAATTTATTTGGCCGTTTGGTGTCTGTACGAGACCTAAATACGTTTCAATAGGGTGCTCCTCTATTGATACTGTACCGATTGATATCTCAAGCTTCTTTTTGTTCCTTTTACCTATTTCTGATGTATTTTGGCCTCACGTCATTATACGATTTCCTTGTCCAACATCGTATCAATTAGGATTACGTTATATGTATTATTATCGGGAGGAATAATTACTAGTTATTGGAAATGTTACTATTTTATTTAATTGTTTTAATATTTTAGTTTATTAGTACGTATTAGTAAATATTTATTTATATATAAAAAAATTATTTCTGTCTGTTTATTCAGTACATACCTATAATTATATATATATATGTATAACGTCAACCATCTACACAGGCTCTGCCAGAATAACCAGCGCCGTATCAGAGTTATCTACTCTGGTATGGCTTATGCTGAGGCAGAGTCCTGATTGGCCACCACTTTTAACAAATGTATTTATTAGTTAAATCATTACTGTACCAATCTATGTGGTCAATAAATGTATTTTCTTTCTTTCTTTCTTTCTATTTTTTAGAACCAAATGTTATATTTAGTCGTGAGAGGAGCTTGATGGGCAATGGTTAGTGCACTCGGTTTGCGATAAGGTTAAGCCACTATCGCGATGGCCGTTTATAGGATGGGTAACCAAAAATTATTACCTTGAGCTCCTCCATACTTCGGAAGGCAAGTTAAATTCTGGTCCCGCTTGCAACGTCAACAGTTAACACTCCTCAATCCTTACTGGGCCCGCGTGGTCGATCATGGCCCATTCTCCCTATTCGATTCGATGCCATTCGTAAGAAAGGGCTGTACTACAGTGGACAAACTAATAGACTGATAATGATAGCACTAAATTTTTTAGTCATATTGCTATGGTATTATGGTACTACTCGACTACTCAGTGTTGTCATATAATAGAGCTGCAATGAAATAAAACCTCTATTGCCTTTTAATGTAGGTTTTTCATAGTGGGTTATGTCCCACTGATCTTATTCGATTTGACCCCATTCATAGGAAAAAAAATAATTCTACCAAAATACTTCCCACGCAGACGAAGTCGCGAGCACAGCTAGTCTTACATAAAGCTGACTAAACCTTTTCTTCCTTTTCTTCAGTGACTCTTTTTCGACCCTATAACTAGTAATAATAATAATGATGATAATAATAATCATAGCATCGCTGTCAGGATGCCATTCCGGCTGTTACGCAAGTGTTGCTTTAACGAAGCCGCTTTCTTGCGCATAATGGCATGAAAGCCATCTGGATAAGCCTCCGCAAACAGTTTCGAAGCACCATAACGACGCGGCAACCGCAATAATATCCTTTGAAATGAAATGAAGTGAAGTGAAATGAAGTGAAGTGAAATGAAATGAAACGAAGTGAAACGAAATGAAATGAACTTTATTCAAGTAGGCTATTACAAGCACTTTTGAATCGTCCGAATCACAATAATAAATACAACTTTCAAAGTCTGTAGGATATAGGTTGAACATATAATTAGTCTTTATAGCATAAAGCGAAGGCTATTAATTCATGAATTCATTATATTAGAAATGATCCTCTGGTTTTCTGAAGTCTGAAGCTTGGAACGGCAAGTTTTTTTTTCTTGTGTTAAGATTATGAACACTACTTTGTTTGTGAAGGAATCGTAATGTTTTCTTGCGTACATAAGATTTTCATAGGTGTATTGAGAGGCAACAGTCAAAATATTTATTTCTTTAAATATTTCTCTGAGAGATTCTCTAGACCGTAAATTATATATAGCGCGGACGGCTCTCTTTTGTAAAAATATCTTGAATGCTAGCCGCAGAACCCCACAACAATAGACCATACGTCATTCTCATTACACTATGAAAATAACTATAATATACCAATCTTGCCTTTTCACCATTTGTCAAGAGTCTTATTTCTTAACAGCAAATGCTGCAGAACTTAGTCTACTTGACAAATTAACAATATGAGGATCCCATTGCAGTCGGGAATCTAGTGTAATACCAAGGAACTTTGTCGATTCCACCAACTCAAATTTTTCACTATTTACATTTTTAAGTGTATTAACATGCCTCACATTAGGTAATGCAAACTTTATGCATTATTGTACTGTACTCTCGAAAATGTTGTTGTACTGTACTCTCAGGACAGTGTAGGCTCGGCGCGTACAGCAGGCGAACATATTGTCCCTTACCGCCAACGCCCTGCACTCTCGTTCTATGTCACTATCATCCCTTAGATCACTCGTGACAATATGACCCAGGTACTTAAAACTATCAACCAGTTTCAGCACTACGCCGTCGAGATGCACTGGTGGAACTATTGTTGTTGGTAGTGTAATAACAGGGGCGAGCTTAGACCCCCTTGTCCGACACCACATTCTAATTGGTATTCCTCAGACCAAGTACCGACCCATCTCACTCGGTTTATCTGGTGAGAATACCAATATTTGAGAAGATCTATATACTCTGCCGGCACATTCTTCGCCGGCAGATCGAAAGCTTTTGACAGATCAAGAACGTAAGAGTATATCGGCGTCCTTCTTGCTGTGTAATACTTTACAGCGTGTTTAAGACTTAGAATGGAACTTTCCGTTGAAAATCCCTCTTTGAACCCGAGATGAGCATCGTGTATTTTTATATACACCGAGAGGCTGCCATTTAACACACTGTCAAGCACCTTAGCAATGATGGTAGCGAGCGTGATCGCTCGATACTTTGCAATATCTGAAGGGTCACCAGTTTTATTCTTAGTGATAGAGACAACTATTGTTCTCATAACTCTTACTATTGGTAAACTCTTATTATTGGTAAGTAAGAGTGACCGGGGCACAAGGTGAAAAAAGTGATAACACCCGAGGCAGGTGGGTTCCCGCATTCTTAAGGTGCTTAATGCTGAGACCATTGTGCCGGGTCACGGCTTTCCCCGTTGCATACCCAAAATAATTTTGATCACTATTTTCGCTGGAATTTTTACGTTCTGCTCCGGCACAATAGCCTCAGCATCCGCTGCGTTGCGAATTACAGCACTCTAGGGTGATCGCACAGAAAAAATATTTTTAAAAGCATCCGCAATTCGCTTATGGTCGGTAAGGCCTGCCGCGTTCACCGGGAGACCCAGCCTCATATTCAGCCCGCCGGTATTCTTCCAAAAATTTTTGAAGTCCATGTTAGCATGATTAGTAACGTGGATATCCATTTAA